ATTTACCTCTCTGTGGTGCAGTAGGGCTCCACCATCTTTGCTTTATTCTGTTAAGTCAGAAAGCAGTTGCTGAACATCTAATATGTGCCAGGCTTTCCTATGCACCAGGAACCCAGAAATAAACATGGCATGACCTCTGTCCTGGAGAAACTTACTGCTGCTTGTTGAAGTGATAAAACAGACTCAAAAAGGACAAAACCTAAGAACTCCATGAGATAAGGACCCTTATAATCTCCAGGTTATAGATGAAAAAACAATACATCTGTGCTGTCCAATGTGGTCGAGATGTGTCTATCTAAGTTTATTAATTAAAATGAAATAGAACCATGAGTTTAGTTCCTCAGTAGTGCTGGTCACGTTTAAGATGTTCTGTAGTCACCTGTAACAAGTGGCTGCCGTATTGGATGATGCAGATACAGAATATTTCCGTCATTGCAGGAAACCCTATTGCACCACGCTGCTCTAAGTCACTTTATCAACACAGGAACGTGCAACATGGGCTTGTTCTGACTCCAGATTATAAACTGATAACCATTATGTTACATTGCTTCCCTAATATCTAGTGAAAATTTGGGGAGAGGGAGCAGACAGGGGAAGAGTTAGAAATCTCTTCTTATTCAGGAAATAAGAAATATTTAAGATGATGGGGAACAGGAGACATTAAGTACAGATTTCCCCTGAAGCTCTTTTGTGGCACTTGAGGAACTGGAAACGATTTTTTTTTACTGGATCAGGAAAGTTAGTACTTGCTGCTTATGGAACCAAGAGGTGACTTTTGCTAAGAGTTATCCTAGGATTTTGTCTTACTTTTAAGCCTCAGTTCCTAACATAGTACTTAATATTTAATAGCTGTACAAGAAATGCTTCTTGAACTAAATTAAAAAAAATTAAGTGTACTATCTTTTGCCCGTCTCAGAAGAATTGCTGTGAAGAAGAGTAACATTGGTGGCTTTCCTTATGATTCCTAGGGGGAGAAAAGGAAAGAAGATTTCCGCAAGGGCAATATCCAGATGCTCAGCTTCAAGAAAAGAGGGCCCCGTACGAATATATCTGTGCTCTGACAGGGACATAAGAGGGAGTGATCATGAGAGCTGCCTAAAAGCTTATCTGGGCCAGATTTTACAGTCTGCTATTTTAAAACTACAGAAACTCTGTATGTGGCTCTAAAATGAGAACGGAGAAAAATTGCCTCTATACCAAATTAATTCCTGTTATTATCTCTTTAGTGAAGTGAAAACAGTCACCCCTCCCCCTCCCTCAGTGTGTCCCAGTGTGTTATCCCGGATTACTTGCACTTACCCACCAAATGTTGTGTGAAAGCTGGAAAAAAAAAACAAGCAGAAAAACCCACCACTATTTCGGCTCCCAGCTCATCCTCCTGCTCTTTTCATCAATGCGATCCTCCCCCACCCCCATCTTCCTTTCCTTCTCTTCAGGATTTAGCCAAAGTGTTGGCTTCTGTGTTATTTAGAACAAACAAAACCTATCAAAATAGGGTTTCAAAGACAGATGTGCTGATTGGGGATGGGAAGCAAATGCGGCATGCTCACTCACTTCTTAAAAGCTTTAATTTACAGCAAAAATAAAAAGTTGTTTAATACCAGGCAGGAGGAGTCAGCTTTGAAAAACTGACTGATAAGCGGAGAAGAATGCTAGATTTGTTTTGAATTTGAACTTAACAACTAGGACCCTTTTTTTCCCAGCAGCAGTGATCACAACTTCCTTAGAATGATTTAAGAGTTCCCTGGGGACGTTTCACCCAGGTCCCTTTGTAAGCTTTAGACTCCAAACAGGGCTTATCAGAGAAGATTCCAATTTAGAGCAGCAAAAAGTTTAGTGTCTGATATCAGCTCTAGCTTTTCTTCTTCTTCTCTTTTTCAAAAGGAGACATGATGTTTTACAGTGTTAACACTTTTGAAAGTTCCCATATTTCCAGTGAACAGAGTGCTTTTGTGAAAAGGGCTCTGAGAAGCATTATTCAGGCGAAATGCATCAAAGGGATGCGAGTTGAAAAGAGACGAGTTTGCCGATGTGGAGATTGAAGGCAGCATGTGCTGACAGGTGCAATTATAGCCAGATAATTGAATGTTTTAAGAGAGATGCGGTGCCATCAGGCAATAGTTATGAACTCACATCGGAAACCCGTTCATAATTAGATATTCAGGGATCCCGCTGTGGATGACACAATGTTGGATGACAGTGTTGGGACCATGAACTACTTTAGCTGCTGGACATAAAAGGGACTGCACTTTGTAAAGTAGCGTGAAATAGCATGATATCAGCCCTACAGAACTTAACTGATACAAAGTTTGAAGAGAAGGCTCAGCCTTCTCCCTCAGATTCCCAATAGTCTGCAAGCTCTTTCAGCCTCTGAGTCGGAAGTCAATGCAGCTTCCAAGTCTTTTGGTCTCAGAGAAGCTAAAGAAAATACCAACTTTTTAACTAGCAACATGAAACATCTCTCTTTGCTGGTTGAAGAGTTTCCAGGCACTTCGGTTTCCTTTCTCTACACAATGTGCCTTAGCCAAAGAGCCTGGAGTGAGACCAGTCCGGTGTTTATCTCTGAGAATATTCCGCCAAGGTCATAAAAGCTAACAGCTCTATTTACGGTCTTGCAATTTCGGTGCCTAGAGCCTTGGCTCAGTGAGAAGTGGGGTTACTATGTGAGCTACACCTCAGTTTCTGTAGGGGTCTCTGTGTGGGCTGAGCAGTGAGGACAGCACAGGCCAGCGAAACACAGCAACCGTTTCTGCTCAGAAGAGAACGGAGGCATCCAGGATGCTTCATCAGTAGATCCGTTAGACTTCCGGCTTCAGGCTTTCGTTCCTAATGAAACAATATAACTCATTCTGCTGTGTTGTATGATTTTTTTCTTTCAAATTTAATTTCTTTTCTCCTCTTCTATATATGGCTGGATTACCTCGTCACTGTAATGTTATTAAAGACTCTCAAGCTGACTCTGAGTTATAGGCTTCTGATAATGACACCTTGACTCGAAACCCAGGTGATATAGCTCCTTTCCTACCACAGAGAATCGACTCCTTAAAGACTTTGGACCTCTCACATTTTCCTTCATTCTTTTTTTAGCTGCTACTTTTCACTTTCCCTTCTACCTATAAGTGTTTGGACTCCATTGGTGCCCCGGCAGGTATTAATTGTAGACTGTCCCCATCAAGCATTTAATAAGCTCAAAAGTGAATCCAGTTTTGCACCAAAAATCCACCACCACAGTAACTATGGCCTATCCCAGTCTCACATTAGAAAGACTTCTTCTCACATTAAGACTTCTTTGGAAGTGAAGATGAAATTACTAATGGGATATGAAAACATTTAGCATCGTACTCAACACATAACAGGAGCCTACTCTATGTTAGCTTTCTTTCTTTCCTCCTCCTGTCTCTAACTTCTTTACAGGTAAAATGAGGGCTTCTGATAACATTTAAATTCCTGTGATGCACTAAAATCCAGGGAGTCTGATTGTCTGCCTTAAGCAGTGTGATTGGAGAGTAACCTCCACATAGTCTTTTCCACAAATTCAACTTCTGTGCAAAAAAGGAGACTCTGGGCACACAGTTGATGGGGAATGAATTTGGGTTTTCTTTCAGTATCATGTCCATGCATTCTTGTTTGGCTGTCCTCTCAACCTGATGTACTGGGAAGTGGCTGGCCAGGGCTGGACGTGTATTTTGAGTTGTGGGAATGAGGTTTTCTGACTGAGGCATGCCGTCTGTTTTATGTTGGTATCCGTCATCTCCCCTTGTCTCAACCTCATAACCCTCCGGCTTACTTTATGCCTGTATCAATGGTGGCAGTGCCTGGCATTTATGTTGTAGCATCTATTTGAAGTAATAACACTGAAGAGAAGGCCAGGCCATATCAGGAAGCATCTTTCAATTACTACCTGGCTCATTAGTTTTGTCAAGAAAATGAAATACGGTCTGCTTTTTGACTCATTTCCAGAGAATCATAGGGGGAAGCACTGTAGTGTTGTTTGGTGTCAGGAAACAGTTTGTGGTTTCCAGCAACGACTCAGGAAGTCATCTGCTTTGTCTCATTGTGGCACATACCCGCCTTTGCCTGGTCATCTGGCCCCAAGTGGAAGCCCAGGCAAATGAGAGAGGATCTAAATTTCTGTTATGACCCAGTTGAGGCTGGACAAGGCAGAGGACTGGGGGTCTTCCACTGTGAAGGCTCCAGGAAGTTGCTTGTGTTACAGACAGAAAATTTGGTCTATGGGAAAAGCCCCTTGCTGACAGTATGGTCCTCTGCTCTTGGCCAGGGCCAGAAAAGTGTAACATGGGATGCAGTGTGACTTCAGGGTTGAGAGCAAGAGTTTAGAAATCATGATAAGCTGGATTCAGATTTTGGCTTTATCACTGTTTGTAGCAAGAGTCAACCTTTTTCAGTAAAGGGCCAGCTAGTAAATATTTTAGGCTTTGTGGGCCATATGATCTCGGTGACAACTACTCAATTCTGCTGTCTTAGTGCAAAGGAGCCATACACAATACACCAGTGAATGGGCATGGCTGTGTTCCAGTAAAACTTTATTTACAGAAATAGGCCACAGACTCAATGTGGCCAACAGCTGCAGTTTGCCCACCCATGATCTATAGAACGTTGCACTGTAAGTTACTTTAATTCAAGTTTCTTCTGAATATTAAAAGAGATGATGTATGTAACAAAACACTTAGCACGTGCTTGGCATGTGATAAAATGCCAAGTATCTACTGCTGCCAAATATCTACTACTTGAAAATAGTAGATACTTTAATATTAATAGCAAAATATTAAAGTACTGTATATCCTATAATTTAAGATGCTGTTTGTTGTAGGATGCATATGGATTTCAGTTGTTAAAATGTGATAAAAAATTCTTAGGATTGGTAAAACTTAGTAACAGTAATTAATTATAGTAACAAAGTTTTATTTAGAATTTAGGCCTTTTTCTACCAGTGATGATTTAACTCATCTAACATTTCTCTGTGATGTTTTTCTTGTCAGAGACACATGTCATGAACTCCTGGGACATGTCCCTCTGCTTGCGGATCCTAAGTTTGCTCAGTTTTCACAAGAAATAGGCCTGGCATCTCTGGGAGCTTCGGATGAAGATGTTCAGAAACTAGCCACAGTGAGTTCCATTCAGCCTGAAACCCACTCTGTTTATGTCCTTTTGTAAGCGGAGGAAAGCTTTAGAGGCACTATGAATAATAAGGCAAACATTCTGGGGAGGGCGTGGCAGCTTTATTTTCCCCATGTGTGTTCCTTTGTAGCACAACATGTACTCGGTTTATTAACTGCCAAAATCTTTGTATTTTATCCTTCTCATTCACGGGCTAGCTCTTAGATAGTAAGCATTTTAGGCTTGCAGGTCCTGAGGTCTCTTTCATAACTGCTTAGCTCAGCTAGTGTGGTGTGAAAGCAGCCACAGACAGTATGGAAATGAATGCGTGGGTGGATTTCAATAAAACTTTATGTATAAAGCTGACAGTGGGCCGGCTTGGCCTGTTTGCTGACTCCCGTGCTGCTGCTGAGTCGCTCAGTCACGTCCAACTCTCTGTGACTCCCAGCACTGTAGCCCGCCAGGCTCCTCTGTCCATGGGATTTCCCAGGCGAGGATACTGGAGTGGGTTGCCATGTCCTCCTCCAGGGGATCTTCCCAACCCAGGGACTGAACCCTCATCTCCTCCGTCTCCTGCATCGGCAGGCAGGTTCTTTACCACCAGTGCCACCTGGGAAGCCCCCTGTTCTCGTTCAATGTTTATTTTCTAGAATTGTTTGTAACAGTGAAAAGTATGCATTTACGGTAAAGTAGGAGTTGAACTCAGGAGACGTGAGACATGGGTTTGGCCCCTGGGTCAGGAAGATCCCCTGGAGGAGGGCATGGCAACCCACTCCAGTATCCTTGCCTGGAGAATCCCATGGACAGAGGAGCCTGGTGGGCTACAGTCCGTGGGGTCACAAAGAGTCGGACACGACTGAAGCGACTTGACATGCATGCAGGAGTTGTACTTGGGATTATTTCTGACTAGTCAGTATGGGTTTTTCAGACTCAATTTGAACCAGCATTAAGCAGCTCACGCTAAACAATTACTATAAGTACAAAACCAGAGGAAGATTGATTAGATACTCTGATCTCAGCAAGGTTCTTTGCAAAACAAGTCATAAGAGAGGAAAGGTGTAATGTTGGCAGCTACCTTTAAGCTGCTGAAGAGCCAGATCCAGCAAACTCATATGCTTTATCCTAGCCCCATATGAAGAAGCCAGAGTAACAAAGAGCAGGTTGAACAAACTCACTTACTTACAGGGGACAGTCCATTGACAACAATGAGTAAAGCTACTGGAGGACGAAAAAATAGGATCCTAAATTGTGTGTTTGACAGACACACATTGGCGACATATTCGGCATGCAGGAACATTCTTCACTCCCACAAGGAAATAAATGGTCTCCTAGATTTCTTAAGATGCAAACCCCTTTCAGTATATCTTTTGTTTCCTAATTTTGACAGAGATATAGAAACTGAGAAATACAATTCTACTCGAAGAGAACAGTGGAATAGCCATGCTGCTGGGATCCGTGTGGCAATGGGCAGAGGTTGGTGGGGGCTGCCGTGAGCTCAGGAAGAGTGTGTGTCTTTCACAGCAGAAGCTGCCAGATGGGAATGTAGGCCTTTGTGTTGCTGCATCTTCTAAATTTGAGACAGATTGGAAATCTAGATTTCTAAGTGAAATTTAATGATTTAAAAATTTTAGTTCATGAAAAAAAATCTACCATTATGAGCTCAGGAAAATATATTTGTAGACTGAATTAGGATCTGTTCTTCCAATTTGTAACCTCTGCTCTAGGAATTGTATCTCATGTATTTTGGTTATCTATTACTGCGTAACAAGTAATCCCAAAACTTGGTGGCTTAAAAGAATGGACATTTGTTATCTCATAGTTTCTGTGTTTGAAGATTTGGGAGTAGCTTAGCTGAATGGTTTTGGCTCAGGGACTTTTTGTTGTTGCTGTTAGGATGTGGGCTAGACCTATAGAGGTCTTCAGATTTGGGAAAGTTCTCCCAAGATGGCTCAGCCATGTGGATATTGGCAACTGGCTTCCTTCGGAAGAGAGAGAGGGAGAGAGGAAGGGGAGAGAGAGGGGGGAAGAAAGAGAGAAAGGGAAGAGATAGAGATAGCTAATTTTTAAATTTAGTTTTTAGTTGGAGGAGAAGCACTTTACCACAGTGTGTTGCTTTCTGCAGCACAACAGTAAAATCGGTCATAATTACACACACGTCCCCTCCCCTCACCCACCCCCTCAGTCAGCACAGAGCTCCCCGTGTGACGCAGCAGCTCCGCACTAGCCCTCCACTTCACACGAGACGGTGTATAAACGCGACGACGTGTGTACGCATGGTGCTGTGTATCTCAGAGCTGCTTCCTCCGTCCGCCCACCCTCTCCTTCCCCGCTGTGTCCACAGGTCAGCGCAGAGGTGGGTGTTGAGCGAGGGAGTTGTGATGCCTTTGGTGACTTGATCAGGTGCTGATCACGTCAGCCACGTTCTGCTCTTTAGAAGGGACTCACTCCAGTGCACACTCAAGGGGAGGACAATTCATCTCTGTTGTTTGGAGGAAGGAGCATCAGAGCATTTGTGGGTGTGTTTTATTTTGTTTGTTTGTTTATAGTTGTGCTGGGTCTTTGCTGTTGCGAGGGCCTGCTCTAGTGGCAGCGAGCAGGGGCTGCCCGCTAGTTGCGGTACGTGGGCTGCTCATTGCGGTGGCTTTTCTTGTTGTGCAGCCTGGGCTCTAAGTCACGTGGGAACAGTAGTTGTGACACATGGGCTCTAGAGCACAGGCTCAGTAGTTATGACACGTGGGGTTAGTTGCTCTGCAACATGTGGAATCTTCCGAGATCAGGGATTGAATCCATGTCTCCAGTATTGGCCAGTGATTCTTTGCCACTTAGCCACCAGGGAAGCCCTGTAGATGTGCTTTAAAACCACCGCACCGTAAGTCCTATTACTTAATTCTCAAACCTTAGCTCTGGCTTTAAATGCTACATTTCAGAACTTTGTTGTGCCTTGCAAATTCCTTGAAATTTTCTGGTTTCAGTCTTTGACCCCTGTAGCTTATACTCTTGATCAAGGATGGATGGTTTACTTGCTTGTCTTATTCTGAACAGCTGCGAACTAGGAGTCAACCCTGCCAGGTTGTGTGTGTGTGTGTGTCTGTGTCCAAAGAGAGGAGGAGAAGGAGTGAGGTAGGACTTCATGCATGTGAATGTAGGTGGATCCTAGTGAGTGATCTAATTTCTTTCTTAAAAGCAGTGACAATAAAACAGTTTTATTTTCTCTTCCATTGAATGACAATTAAGTAATTCCATCTTTCAAACTAACATTTACAAAGAATATGACAGGATCCTCACCTTTCAGAAAGTCATAGACTATATAGATAAAACTAAGACTTGTCAGAGGAGAGAAACTTTGTGTTGAGTCTTGAAAGGTGGGAGGGGGAAGGGAAGAGTTGAGGGATAGTTTCATTTAGAAGAAATCTCTCTGGTTTGGAGGCTCGGCAGGGAAGGCCTGCTCACCAGTTTAGAGGACCATGCTGAAACCAAGGATCACCTTTTCTGTCATTACAATGAACAAATTACTCCTCATCTAAAACAGTATAAATGTGTTATCTTGCAGTTTCATAGAGTTAGAAGTCTGACTCACTTTTCACTGAGCTAAGAGGAAGGTGTCAGCAGGGCTGTGTCACTCTCTGGAGGCTCTGGGGGACAATCTGTTTCCTGGCCTTTTTCCCGCTGTTAAAGGCTGCCTGCATTCCTTGGCTCGTGGCCCCCTTCATCCACCATCAACACGGCCATGTTGCATCTCTCTGACCTTCCTGCCATTGTCACTTCTCTCTCTGTCTCTCATCAACTATTGCTTTGTGGGGTAATGTGGGGCCTACCTGGGTAATTCATGAATTTCCCCATTCAAACTCCATGTCTGCATAGATAGCATACTCGTGGGTTCTGGATATCTTTGAGGGGGCATTCTTCTTTGTTTCTGTTTTTACGCTTGCAAGATAAAACTGATAATTGAAGCTTGAAACCTTTTTTTTACTAGGGCCAGTGAATTTGTAGAATAAGTTTTCCTTTGGAACTTACATTCCTTTGCATGGTTCCAATACCCTTGGCCATGGATTGCTTTAGTGCCAGTGGCCAGAAACAATTCCATCTATTAGAGATCACTAATCATGTTTCTCTTGCTATCTTTCTTCCTCTTTTTCAATTGTTCTTTGCCTAGAAAATACCACTTTTTTCCTGCAGAAGCCGATTCAAGTCAACAGATAGTCTTTAAGTGGCTAAAGAATCCCAGGTTCCATGGGTGGGAATAGGGGAAAGGCGAAGAAGTAGTACTTACCTCAAAGAACTCATGATCCAGCACACAAAAACACAGTAAACCCCGTCAGTGTTAGTTTTCATTCATACGCATAAGCAGATACATAGGAGAGGCAAATTTAAGCCTTTTAAGTGTGTCTGAGTTCTGCGCTGATTGTTGGAGACTGGGACGCAGACTCAGGTTAGGGAGGATCAAGAGCCTCTCAAGGGAGAGAATAAGTCTGGAACCTCGTAGCGGCTTTGACTGTTATAAAACCAAAGAGACCATCGACTTTCAAAAGACTTCAACTTAAAGATGACGAGTTTCTTTAAACACAGTGGAGAGGTGGAGCCTGATCTCCTCCTCTTTTCCTGACCTTGCTTGAGCAGATCTTGCATGAGCAACTCTCTTTGATTTTCTGTCTCTCACAAGCCTTGTAGTTCCATTTTTCTCAATTTTATAGACTGCCCACTTACTTTGAAAAGTATTTTGTGGACCAAGGAAAAATTTGGTAAGTTTTACCCACATGATAGGGAGAATATAGAGGAAGACAGACTCCCAGTGTGAGGAGGCTAGGGAGGTTTTGTGCTGAAATAATACTGTACTGCCATTGACTTCCAAAACCACATCTTATCCCTCAGTTAAAAACAAAGTGAATAGAAAACTGCTGGAATTTGGCTGGAAAGAAAACAGATTCCAGCTAGGCAAGTTCATAGTAAACCTGGGAATAAATAACCTATTGGATGGCACACATATTAAGGATTGTCAAGTCATATGCTGA